AGCATAATTGCTTAAATACCTAATTCAATGGAAAAGTTGGAAGATAAACTCCCAGGTAGTAGAACAAAAAACAAACAAACAAACAAAAAAAATGGATGAAGCAATGAGACCATCTAATAAAATAGTTATGATAATAGGTGACTTAGTTAAAGTCCAGTGTTTTAAATGAAAGAAATCAGAGGAGAGGGAGAAATGAGATAATTTGATAGTGCTGATGAGCAGGAATCTCAGTTGTGATTCCTACTGTACACAACCAGTGGAAAAAGTTCTAACCCAAAGGATCAGAGGGAAAGAAGATCCTAAGACAGTTTCAGAGAGGAAAACTAAGAAAAGATTACCTACAAAGGCAGTAGAAGTTTAAAAAATCAGTTTTAGGAACAAGAAACCAGCTGAATTCTGAGTAAATTTTGCTTTTGCTGTACAATTCTATATACAGCCAATTGCGAGGGGAGTTAATGAACACTTCAGATACACAATTATTGAAATGATTCCTGGGATTTTTCTTAATCAGGCTTGGAGATTCTTTTTTTAAATTTAATGGTGCCTCTTGAAGAGGACCTTGCCTGTTTCTCACTTTTGCTTTTTTCATCAGGCTTAATATTAATAGGTTTGATTAAACTCATTTGGGAATTTCCTCCAAAATAAAGGGCTAAATCACAAAAGAGGAAGAATCATAATCTTGAAAATACAGCTTTACAGAGCGGTTAACACAGATTGGAGTGGGAAATTAATATTTAGCCATTTAACTTACATATGGTATGTCTCTTTTTACATGCTTTGTTTTTCTTCCTTGTTGTTGTTTTTTTCTTTCCTGTTTGTTCTTTTTCTTTGCCACGTATGTTACCTGCTGACTATCTTTTTGTCTGTCTTCTTGGTTTCTTCTTGGAAAGCCTGATCTTTCACCAGATGGCAGTAACATTTGAAGATGTGACTATTACTTTTACTTTGGATGGGTGGAAATTCCTGGATTCTTTCCCAAAATACTCTACGGGAAGGTTGTGTGGGAACTACACAAATATCCTGTCAGTAGATAAAGTTATCCCAGCTAACAGCAAATAAATTTAGCTTTTTCTAGAAGCAGTTTTTTTGAATATTTCAGTTCTTTATCTGGTGCTTGTATTGAGGTGGTAGAATAAATATTTTCTTTTTTAAAATTTTTTTATTTTTTTGTCTTTTTGAGACAGGGTTTCACTATGCAGTTCAGGCTGGCCTTGAGCTCACTTTGTAGCCCAGGCTGGTCTCGAACTGACAATGATCCTCCTGCCTCAGCCTCCTGAGTGCTGGGATTACAGGCGTGCGCCACTACGCCCAGCTGTAGAATAAATATTTTCAAAAATGTGTTGTAGAGGCCGGGCATGGTGGCACAGGCCTGTAATGCCAGCACTTTGGAGGCTGAGGCAAGAAGAGGATCATTGCGAGTTCGAGACCAGCCTGGACTACAAATTGAGCTCAAGGCCAGCCTGAACTGCATAGTAAGATCTTCCTCTGAAAAAGACAAAAAAATGTGTTGTAAGTCAGATGACAAATACAGTTTGAGTGTTGCTTATCCAAAATGTTTGGGATGAAAAGTATTTCAGATTCAGTTTTTTGTGTGTTTTTTTTGTCTGAGACGGTCTCGCAATGCAGTTCAGGCTGAACTTGCGCTCACTTTGTAGCCCAGGCTGGCCTCAAACTCACATGTGCCACCACGCCCAGCATGGAGTTTTTTTGACTTCGCAATACTTCACTACTTGAGTATCCCTCATCTGAAATCTCAAATGTTGAAAATATGAAAGTTTTTGAGCATATCAACATTCAAAAAGTTTTGAATTTCAGCACAGTTCAGATTTAAAAGTGTTGAATCAGGGATATTAGACCAGAAAAAAGTAAAATGAAACATTTTCCAATACATGTGGACTTAAGTAATTACTTAGATATTTATGATTATTTCTAGGTATCTTCTGAATTTACCCTTAAAGCCCAGATCTCCATACTTGGCCAATTTTGTGAGGTCCTAAATTTGTTCTTTCTTCATCTTTTGTTCTCTCACAAACTGCTTCAAATTTAATGCCTTAAAAGAAATGATACTATTTTTTATGACTCCTATTGGCTGATTAGATCGTCTATCACAGAGAGACTTGGTTGGGGCTGGATGTTAAGATGAATTTGCCGCCCACCAGGTGGCTCAATATCAGTGGAGATAATAGGGATACACTGACTGTGTGTCCCTCTTCAAACAAGCTGTCCCCGGTTCATTTACATGATGGTGACCACAGGATTTTTGAAGCAGCAAGAGAGAAGACGGGCACTTTTCATGTTTGCTTGTGACACTTTTGTTATTGTCCCAGTGACAAAATTGGATAGCCAAACCTTGAAATAGAGTAAAAAGAGAACCCCCCCAAAATAAAAAGAGTTAATGAAGCCATATTACTCCTCCCCCATCTTCACTATTCTAGAGCAAAGAAATAGAAACAGCATATTTTATTTATTTAACAATGCCCAAAATAAAGCAATACAATTGAATTTCAGTGTTTTAGATTATTTCAATGAAGGGATTGGCCTTACTGTGTTATTTCTTATTGGTAACTAGATGCTCAAGGTATGTTTGTGGAGGGTGCTGGGGTTATAGCTCAGTGACACAGCACCTGCCTGGCAAGTGCAGGGTCCTGAATTTGATTTCTGGTACCAAAAAAATAAAAATAAAAAAATGTTTGTGGGATGAATTAATGAGTGATTAAATGAACACATACATCAAATAACACATCAGTTAACAAAATAAATTTAGGTCCAATGGAGTAGCTAAAGTCATGACCCTTCCTTCCTACTGCATTCTACACATGTATTCCTGTTGTCCTAAAGGTCATTGATACAGATACTTGGAAGTTCTTAAGCACAAGCTTTATATCATCACTGAAGTATTTGCTTATTTTTCTAGGAATCCTGAATGAGAACTACAAATCACAAGAAGAAATACTCAAATACTTAAAATATGAAAATATTCCTTGCTGGCAAGGCTGGAGGAATGCGGGCATTCAGATACATGAGTCAGAACTATGAGGAAAGCATTTAAGAGGGATATTTCAAAGGCCCTTCCCAGTGTCAAGAGTTGTTAATTTTCTCCACAGAAGCATTAGACAATGGGAACTATGAACTGACTTCTGAAGGCAAAAACTCCAGTAACTTAAAATATAAAAGGTATATACCTTGGCAGTCCTTAAATACACAACATAATCAAGACTACTGTTAGAAGTCTGTATGAGTGATTCCCATGGTTTTCTTTTTTTTTTTTGGTTTTTCTCCAGTACCGGGAACCGAACTCACAACCTTGCACTTGCCAGGCAGGCGATTTGCCGCTGAGCTAAATCCCCAGCCCCCCATGGTTTTCAAGGGGACCAATACCATCTCAGTATGCGCAAGAAAAATATTCTCATGGAGAAAAACAAGAGGCTCATAGTTCAGCACTTTTATATCCCAGTGGAAGAAGCCCTTCCAGAGTACATTGGGGAGATATGCCAAAACAACCCACCGAAAGACTATGGAAGAAAAATACTGTGGATATAATAAACGTAAAGTTTATTTTTAGAACTCACAGTATGTTCGCCACAGGAAAAACCATCTTGGAGAAAAGCTCTGTCAACATTTGGTCAGCACAGCGTGCTTCTCAGAGATCAGATTTATACAGGCACCCAAGAGTCCACACAAGGAAGGAGCTGTGTCAATGTGATGAAGTTGGCAGTAACTAGTCAGAGCTCAGGAGTTCACTTCCATCAGAAGGTCTGTGCAGAGGAAATACCTTCTATCGGTAATGCATGTGGTCAGAGCTTTAGTCAGATCTCTTGTCTTCACAATCATCAAAGAGCCCACAAAATGAAGCTGTGTAAGTTACAGTGTGACAAAGACTTTGGTAGAAAATCATTACTATGCATTCAGAAGAGACTTCACATAGGAGAGAAGCCTTTTACGTGTGATCAGTGTAGTAACTTTTAGAGTTCAGTACTTCCTGCTCAGCAGAGAGTCCGCACAGGAGAAGAACTATGTAAGTGTGATGAGTGCGGTAAGGGCTTCAGTCAGAGCTCAGATACTTGAATTCATCAATGAGTACACAGAGGGCAGAAGTCCTACAAATGTGAGGACTATGGTAAGTGCTTTACCCGGTGCTCAAATTTTCAAATTCATCAGAGGCCGCGCACAGGAGAGAAGCCTTACAAATGTCATGACTGTGGGAAGGGCTTTGGTCGCAGCTCAGACCTACGAAATCACCAGAGGATCCACATGGGAGAAACCCTACACTTGTCATAAGTGTGGGAAGAGCTTCAGCAAGGGTTCAGAGCTTCACACTCGTTAGTACACACTGGAGAGAAACTATAAATGTGAGGAGTGTGCAAAGGGATTCAGCCAGTGATTGCATCTTCTCATTCATCAGAGCATGCACACTGGAGAAAAACCCTCTAAGTGTGGTGATTGTGGAAAAGGCTCTAGTCACAGCTCTGATCTTGTCCATTAGAGGGTCGTGTAGGAGAGAAGCCTTAGCAGTATGTAAAGTGGTAAAGGTTTCAGTCATACACAGCTCAGCTGTTCAGATTCATCAGAGAGTCCATATAGGAGAAAAAAATATATAAATTCCATGACTATTATAAGGGATTTGATCAGAATTCATATTGTCACAATAATCATGGAAGAGAAACCTTGCAAATCATGCTCATTTAGTTAATAGCTTAAACAAATCTGAACCTTTAAACTCAGTAAGTGCTGCTGGAAAAGAAAGCTTGTGAGAAACACAAGTAATCCCAAGCAACAAGGTTTCTCCTCTTCAAGAGGAGATCATTAGGAGGATTAAAAGATACTTAAAGTATATTTTATGTACTGTATGTATTATACATAGTCAAAAATATATAAAAAAAAACTCTTCTGCTTCATTGTAGTCTTTTTTTCCCAGTGTAATTTTTTTTTTGGTCTTTGTGAGACAGGGTTTTGCTATGCAGTTCAGGCTGGCCTTGAGCTCACTTTGTAGCCCAGGCTGACCTTGATCTTGCAACGATCCTCCTGCCTCAGCTTCTCGAATGTTGGGATTACAGGTGTGTACCACCATGCCCAGCTTTTTCCAGTGTATTTTAATGTGCCAGGAAATGATACAAAGTCTAACTTCATATTTTCACTGACTTCAAAACATTTAAATCTTGGTTTGAATGGAACCTGGCTAACCATCTTTATTTGTTTTGTTTTGTTTTGGGTGCAATTCAGGCTGGGCTTCAGTTCACAGTGATCCTCCTGCCTCAGCTTCCCAACTGCTGGTATTATAGGGGTGTGCCACTATCCCTGGCTGGCTATCTGTCTTTGAAACAGCATCTAGTTTTAGTCACTTACCTTGTCATTGAGACAAAATACTCAACACTTGCAACTTAAAGAGGAAGTTAATTTTGGTTCACGTTTTAGAATTTTCAGTCCTTGTGTGGTCAGTGTCATGGGGAAGGGCCTGGACGGAGGAAGGCTGGTCACCTTATGGCAGCCAAGAAGCAGAGAGTGAAGGGAGGAGCTAGGGAAGGAGAGCCACCCTCTCACGTCACACCCCAGTGACCTGCCTCTTCTGACCAGAAAAATCAGCTATAACTTCCTTATAATCCAATCATCTTTTGTGGGGTGGGTACTGGGAATCAAACTTCGGACCATATGCCTCCTGGGCAGGTGTTGTACCATGGAGCTATATCCCTGGCCCTTCAGTGATCTTCCAAGCAGGCTTTGGGGGCCAGTTTGGATCCAGACCATGACATCTGTGAAATTCCTAATATACCATAGAAAAAATGGAACACAAAATTTTAAACTGGTAAATATTGCTCAAATATGGAAGAATTAACCATGAGACTGATAGAATTAAGTAATTATGCTGCAAAAGCCACCTATTAAAAGATGGGAAACATGGACCTGTACCTAAGAGCATATTAGAGATATTTCTGTTAGTCAGTGAACTCTGGAACCATTGTGTTGCAGAGCTTTGGCATTTTGAGGTAACTGTGATGCCCTTATCCCATCTCGTCCCCAGTTTCCCACGTTTATTTATAGGCTCAGACACCATAACAAGAAGTAGATTTAGATTATTCAAGAAGAATGCGGACTGCAGTTTGCAGTGAATGCCACAAACCAAAGATAATGCAGATCTAAGCAGTAGAATTTAACCTCCACAGAACAGAATAGTAATAGAGAAATAGCTCTTAAGAACAGAATTAAACTCAGCTGTATGCAACAATAAACCCTCAAACCAATGTAAAAAGAGAATTGTCCATTATAAAAGTGGAGCAGAGTTAATATGAATACACAGCTCCTAACTATTGATATACAAATATGTTTAGATACTACTTTCCAAGAGAAAAAAAATAATTATGTGGACCTGCTTAGAGAAGTAAGACGAAAATGTCAAAGAACGTCATTGTGAAGACTCAGATACACCCCGGAAAATTAGCTCTCAGGCTTTAGAGGAGAGTAGAAAATTGGTGTTCCCAGTAGCATAACAGAAGCTTACTAAAGCTAAAGTAGAAATTGCTAAGTAAAGTTTCTAAAAGATACGGAAACAAGGACTTAAGGGAAATTTAAAATGCTGTGTCAAAGAGGCAATGAGCAGAACTGTGGATAAATGAGTTGATTTTAATAATGAGAAACAATAAAGACATGAAGATAAGCAAGGAAATCCAACCATTAAGGGTTAAGGAAAGAAAATGAACAGTTGGGTGATGAATGCCCTTGACTGCCTGTATTACTAGATACCGTACCTGAGAGGATGAGCTACTCAGGAGATGAAGTAGGAAGATTACAAGTTCAAGGACAGCCTGAGAAACATAGTGGGACCGTGTCTCAAAAAATTATGCATGTAGTGTGTATTGATGAACGTTAAGGAGAAAGATAAAAGAATTGAAAATATGAGGGTGGTGGGGAAGTTTGCAGTTTTAGTTAGGTTGGTCAAGGATGGCCTCATAGGCTAATATTTCAGGAAAGACTTAAGCCATGGAGCTACCCAGGGTAAAAGAATTTAATTCAGAGGGTTCAGCAAGTGCAAAGGCTCTGAGACTAGCAAGGAATGTATCTGGAATGTACCATAGCCAAGTAAGTGAGAAGGAAAATAAGGAATGAGACTAAAGGCCGTATAAGTCATTGTAAAGACCTTTGATATTTTCCTGATGGAAAATAAGTCACTGGAGGGTTTTACGTGACATGATCTAACTTAATTTTCAGTAGTCCCACTTTAAATTTTGTGTTAAGATTTGACTAAAAGTAGAGAGAAAGCAGGGAGTCTAGTTTGAAAATATTGCAGTAGTCCCTAAAAGAAAGTATTAACAAGATATCAGTAGTAGAAGTGAGGGAAATGATAAAATTTTGAATATATATTGAGTATGATGAATGTACCGGAAGTGGTTTTTGTTTTGTTTGTTTTTGTCTTTTTGAGACAGGGTCTCACTATGCAGTTCAGGCTGTCTTGAACTCACTTGGTAGCCAAGGCTGGTCTCGAACTCGCAATGACCCTCTTCCTGCCTCAGCCTCCTGAGTGCTGGGATTACAGGCATGCACCTGGCCCAGAAGTGGTTTTAAAGCTAAATTGTAGGCAGTGTTTTAATAGCTAAAAGGGAAGTCAATATACTTTACAGATGCGAAAATTTCCTTGTGAAAGCTTATGTTTGAGCATATAGTATTTAAGGACAGTGAAATGTTTTTCAATTAATATTTTGATGGGGTTTTAGCTATTCTGAAAAGACTAGGATATTTTCATCTAGAGAATATAAGCTCAGATTTTGCCATGGGAATAGTCACAGCCATCCTTGGGGAGTCAGGGTTGGTTTTCCAGAGAGTCGTTCTAATCTTAGTGGAAGATCAGGGGAGAGAAGAAAAATGTTTCAAGCAAAGTGAGCAGTTTTAGCAGTAAATATAGCCCAGTGATTAAGAGCTAGATTTCCTGAGTTCAGATGAGTTTTTATGAAGACAGTATATTTCTACACAGTGTCAACAGACTTACAATCATGAGCTCAGTGTGAATTGGAAATAATACACATTGTCATATAAAATTCTGGTAGGAAAAGTATGAGTCAGGCAAATCCTGCCAGAAATGCCTGTCAGGTTGATTGATCAAATTGTAACATCTACTGAATACTGTACTAGGCTATGAAGAGACAGAAAAACTACACAATCCAATCCAAAAGGTGATACTATGGTGTGGTGTTTATTTTATGAGGCCCTAGAATTTAGAAAATATCACAGTGACTAAGAGAATTTCAGTGGGCACTAAAAATAGTTGTTACATGGTGGTACATGCCTGTAATCCCAAGACTCTGGGAGGCTGAGGCAGGAGGATTGCAAATGTGAGGCCAGCCTGGTAATTTAATGTGTTAGCAAAAAATAAAAGATTTAAATGGGAGGTCGGGGGCAGTGATGCAGCTCAACATGAAGGTCCTGGGTTCAGTTTCCACTACCCATACATTCATTCTTTCATTAATTTGTCAAAAGAATTAGAATGTTAACATCCTTGAAAATAGTTTCCCTGAACAGCATGGTATCTGAAAAGTCTGAAGAACTCACCTGGCAAGGACCTAGGATATCTTGCTGATGGTATGGGATTGGGATAATCATGTGACTTTTTGGGGTTTAAGTAGCTTTTGCTGGAAAAGACACTGAAACGAGTCCTAAGACACCCTAAGATAAACGTTTATCTTGGAATAGTTTATGCCACATGATAAAGTACTGTGCTATCACAGCATGCTGGTTGTGAAAGTAGTCTGGACTTCCTTTTTTTGTGTGTGTGTCTTTTAGAGACAGAGTCCGGCTTTGCAGTTCAGGCTGGCCTTGAGCTCGCTTTGTAGCCCAGGCTGGTCTCAAACTGGCAATGATCCTTTTTCCTCAGCCTCCCGAGTGCTGGGATTACAGGTGTGTGCCATTATGCCCAGCCTGAACATTTTAAGGTCTTTTTAATATTTTTGAATTAGTTTGTCTTTTAGCATATTAGGTTTTTTTTTCCTACTTTATTAGCGTATATTGGTTATACAGATTAAAAGATTCAGTCTGGCAGATTTGTACAAGCACATAACATACTTTAGTCATTTCCCTCCCTCCCTCCCTCCTCCTTATCCCATGTTCACCCCTTAGTTTTACATTTGGCGGGTGTTTCAGTGTGTGTAATGCATTTTGATCATATTTCACAGTCACTTTGAGAGAGTTCCCAAGAAGCCTACCATGTAGTGGGGAAATCACACGGGTCAGAAAGGGTCACGATTTGTGACACCAAGTGGAGGAGGGGTCAGGTCCAATGGAGAAATTTGTTAAGGCACCAAATGCCGGAGATCGCCCTACATTTCCAATAGATACCAAACAGGAGCCCACAAAGAAGGGGTGCTCGGTTTCCTTGGGAAATTTTGTGTATTTTCATTGTACACACAGACCTGGCAAATCCACAGAACTCTCAAACCTAGCAGCGGGGGCCCTTTTTGGGCGGGCGGTGGGATGAGCAGCTCGCAGGCTCGATGAAGCTCCGGTGTCTGCTCAGCACCCCCCATGGCTCCGTTGGTGTGCAAGTCCATTGGGGCATTCTGTCTGGTTTTGTTCCTGCCAGTCGCAGTTCTCACCTTCTGACCTGCTATTCCCTCTCTGGCTGTTGGCATGTCACAGGACTAGCAGCTGTTTAGGCTGGATTTTCTCCTTGTTTATTGATGGACTGAAGCTATGAAGTTTAGATGCATATGCCATAGATCTCCTAGTGTCAGACTTGGACCTTCCCTTACCTCCCTCTGCAAGTGGAGCCGAGAGCACTGGGCTGAGCTGATTTGTCCTGGGAGCTCAATGGTTTGGGATCCATTTCGGTAGGGTTGGTTTAGATGTGTTTGATTCTAGAGAAGCTGATTTTCTCACACCCCAAAAGGGCCCTTCCTTGTTCACAAGCTAGATACTTGACCATAGTGAAAGCTATCATGATAATTTTCTGTAGTGTTAGGATTACATGAAGCTGGATATGGTGGCATATGCTGTAATCCTAGCACTTGGCAGGCTGAAGCAGGAGGATTATGAGTTCCAGGCCAGCCTAAACTATGTAGTGAGTTCAAGCCTATGGAGTGAGACACTGTCTCAAACAAACAATCACATGAATCCAGTCAGCCACAAGTTATTGATGCAGATGAAAAGTGTACATTATCCACGCCAAAAGCACCATATTATGGACAACTCTTTTTTACTCTAGAATCCAATTCCTTTGAGGAATTGTCCCCTTCTATTTCTTCTAATTCTGTGAGGATTTAAATGTGAGGATGTAAAAATAACTCGTGGCTGGCCAGTCGTAGTGTGAAAAGTTTGACTGTATTACCCAAGTATAATGAATTAAGAGTCCTTCTCTGGGGTTGTTACATGGAATTTTAAAGGATGCACAAATGATGCTAAGGTCTGTGGCACCATACTGTGGACTTGAGTTTTTGGAGCACAAAGGAGAATTTCTTTTAAGTTCCATAAATCATTGCAGTTAGTGCTGAGGCTTGAAGTGGTGTTAGGTGCTTTCTTTTTAGTTGTGGGACCTAACTGCAGGTCCTATAGCACAGGCCCAAGTGGTACCAGGGCTTTTGGCAGCAGTATTGTGGTCCAAAATCTGTGGGCTGAGGAGATGTTCTCTGTGTCTTCCTGGACATGTGCAGATAATCTGGGCTTGTGGAGTTGGTATCCACTCTGAACGTCTGGGTTATGGGGTAACTTTCCCTTGGTCCCATGGGTTAAGTACAGGTGTTACTGGGGCTTGTGGCTTTGGTATTATGGGCCAAGAGCTGCAGTGGTGGGAATGTACCTTGTTCCTGTTGAGCAAGTTCTGGTGGGGACAAGGCTTGTGTTTGTATTTACAGTTCTGGAGCTGAGAAGCATATGGGCACTTCCTCTGGTCCCCAGGGACAAGCTTAATGAAGCTTCAGGGTTTTAGCACTGAAGTTGCAGTCTCAAGGCTGTGGTCTGGGAAGGAACTCTGCCCTAGTACTTACTGGGTGAGCTCAGGTGTCAATGGGGATTGGGGACACTGGGAGCAGCACTCCTGGAACTGTGGAGCCTTTCCAGCTCCCAGTGGATCCATGGGGGTAAAGCTAGGACTTTACAGCAGTAGCTACAGTCCCATGATTTGGGGCCTGAGAGGAGACCCTCTCTAGTGCCAGCAAGGCAATGCAGCTGCTGGTCCTGAAGCTGCAGGATGCTGAAGGGGGCTGCTTACCTTGTGAGACAAGCCCAAGGGTTCTGCGGCTGGAACTTAAAGATGGGATTGAGTGTTGGCTGTGTTTAGGGGTGTGAGATCTAAGAGGCTGAGTAAATCCGAAGTGAAGTTTCTTCTTTGGAACAGAGTCATTTTTAGACCAGCCAGCTCCCCAAACTGGGTTTAAAATTGATAAGTACTATAGACTCCTGCAGTTAGGACTGCCAGTCTGCTGCTATAGTTTGGCTTGCTGGTACTTTCCTGCTTCCTTTATGCTGGCTGTGTTCCCTTCTCTGAGTTGGGGAGCTAGAGTTAACACTGAGGATTGCTTTGGTACTTCCTTTAGATTATCTTTAAAACTGTGTTGTAGGTTTCCTGTCACTTCTTTGTTAATTTCCACAGTTCCCACTCACTTTCCTCAGAATAAGTTTTTCACTGCCTCCCCCTTGTGGCAGAGCAGTGTGCTAGCATCTCTATTCAGATGTCTTGGTCCCCTCATTCGGTCTGGTGTTTCCTTGAACATACTTGTTCTTTGCTTGGTCAAACTAAATTTGATAGGTACTTTTCCCTTTAATAGGCTGGATGCCTGGTCTCTTCTTAAATTCTCATTAGGCTGTATATTGTAGCCCATCCTTTGGAGAAGTATATGAATTCATGTTGTTTTCGAATCCTTAATGCTGTTCCTTCCCATGTATTAATTTTTAAAAGTCTCTCAATACATGTTATATTTGCCCTCCTGAAAGGTAATTTAAATTCTTGCTAGTTGTGTATGAGTTACATTTATTGTCAATCTCGCTAAATTAAGTATTTTTATTCGTCCTTTATGTTTTCTATCTGCCCAGAATGTGAATCTGTTTTTATTAATTAATGTAGAGCATTTTCCTGATGATGGTTTGTTTAATGTTTTAACCAGTTTTCCACAGCATGTTTATTAACATTTTTGGTTTTAATACATTAATGAGTATCTATATTATACACAGCCTGCCAAAAAATGTATATGTACTTCAGTAGTTCACCATACTAATAAATATCTGGAACATTTTTTTTTGTCTTTTTAGATAGGGTCTCACTATGCAGTTCAGGGTGGTCTTGAGCTCACTTTGTAGCCCGGGCTGGTCTCAAACTTGTAAGAATCCTCCTGCCTCAGCTTCCTGAGTGCTGGGATTACAGGTGTGTGCCACCACGCCTGGCCTCTGTGACCTTATTGCCACTGCTTTGAGCATTTCTTAATTGTAGAGGCCAAAGGTAACCTGTGTTAATCTCATGATGTCTCAATAAATTTAGTATTAAAATATTCATGCAAGTTTTCCTTTTCCTGATATATACATTTTTTAGCAGACTATATTCATATAGTTAATGCATCTGGATATGGTATATATGTAAATACTGAGTTAACTGTCCCCCCCCCACTGATCTGAAGTGGTAATTTATGATACACAGAATCTTTACACTTTATATCTAGCTACAATCAATTTTGTGCAAAAGCTGTCTACTCCTAGGCCAGTTGCATACTGTATTACTACTAAGGGGCCTGTTATTACCATTTAAAAAATAATCACAGCTACTTTAACTTGTAATGTTTATAAAATAAACTTTATAACTATTTTTTGAAATTCTCAAATATTTGATAGAATTTTTAAAAATAGTATTATAGACAGCTAAGTTAGGTAGAAATATTATACAGTCTGAAAGGGCTAGACCCTCAAGAGTCAGTACAAAACACGTTATAACTGTGGCCAGATGTGCATCTGTTGGAGGCCAGACCTCAAGAAATGACAGAATGACCAGGCCTACATGCTTCCCCAAGGGGTAAGTGGTAACACCTCATCCAATAAAGTCTAGCTGGACATCAGTCACCTTGGTGGGTGACCAAGACCCCTGGATCTATCCCTTTCTGAGCAGTCCTTTTTTCTTTCCATGTACACTTGCTACATGACTTGCTTCCCCATTGGATCAGTATTACCTAAGTAGCTATACTTACAGTCTTATGGGTTGACCATAGTTTTAACCCACATTGTACCTGCTCTGCGATTTTGCTCTATAAAACTTCCTCTGTGAAATGGGCTCACTGGCTACCCAGTCAGGTCCCCTCCTGTTTCTGAGGCAAAAGCTGTCTTTCCCTCAATTAAATTTCCTACTCTCATCCTCTGTTGTTCCTTAGAATTCATTCTTTGATTTTGGGGAACATGAACTTGGATAGAACATCTAGCAGGTTGGGAGTTAAATTTATTTCCCTGTAGAATGTGAAAGTCCTGAACAATTACTATGGGGAAATTAAACAGCTCTACAATAGTTTTCACAGCCAGACATGTTTTTCCATTTATTCAGGGTAGTGTTTGAGAAAAGTGAGTATATATATCTCAGTTCAGTGATTGTCCCAGTGGTCAACTGTCATTAGCAAATTATTGTTTTTTTCCAAATTATGATGTTTTCCTTTTCTCATTATTTCAGTCATTTGTTCTAGAGTACTGAATAACAGTGGGATTAACAAGAACCTTGTTCATTCCAAACTCTTACGGTGGCTTGTAAGGTCTCTCATGATAAAACCTTTGAGTCTCTCCCTAGCAGTACTTGTATGCGAAGTGAACACTCCCTCTTACTCAGGGCCAGCTGTCTTCCAGCCAATGAACTTCTTCTTGAACATGTATTGCTATCTCTCTGTAGCTTTCTGTTCTTTGTTTTTCCTTTATCATTTCTCCTAACAATCCCTCATTAATCTAATCTCCAGTCTTCATGAATCATCTTAGATATCTGTCTTTGATGGCATATAATAACATTCAAATACTTAGTAAATAAGAAGTAGGCATATGAAAAGAGGGTAAAAAAGATGTCAATTGCCTGTATTGTGCAAGAAATAAAATTTAAATGTACTCTAAAAAGGTACTTTATAATGAAAATAGTGAGCATAATTTTAAAAGAAAGCTTAACTTTTAGGGATTTAAAAAAAAAAACAGGTTCAAATATCTGATTGTTGAGAGAAAAGGTAATTAAGTGATGGAAATGGTATTTTTATCTTTTGATCACCTAAAAGAAAATTAGTTAATAAAAAAAAAAACACACACACACACACTCAGAATATCTTTTAAAAAGTCAGTATCCATTATAATTACCATGTCAGTAAGTTTCTGAATTGAATATTTAGTTGTCTTCCTCTTGTTGGGCTCCTCCAAAAATCTGCATTGCTTATACATAAATTTCCATACCAACTTCCTGTATTGAGTTTTTAATATAGCTTGTGTTTTTATGTAAAGAATGAACAAAGAAATACAACTTTTGACATTTATCAATTTATCATAGAGGTTCCCCTCTAGTCCACCTTTCCTGCTTTTCGAGGCCTGAACTCTGATGAGAAGCCACCATCATCATTCACTGAGAATTTCTCCATTGTGAACTTCTTGGGAGGTAGATTACGACATACCACTTGGCTCAAAGAACCATTTGGGATCTGAAATAGCTTACAGCAGGCACAGTTTTGGTACAGAGTGTTAGGATACTTTATTAATATCATAGAATCTGGGATAAATACAGATCTCACCTCAGGCTATAGCTGTCTCTCCAGCCTGGATCTCAAAAAGTACTTTTTAAAAATGCAGATTTCAAGAATACATAAAAGTGAACAACTGAATTTCCCATTGCAATTGAAAACTCCCCCAATTTGGTAAAGATATCTTTGGGGTGGAATGAATGGGAATAACTGGCAGTCACTGAAGACTTTGCCATTAATTCAGAGATTTCAGTCCTTAACAGTGTTCCTCTATATTATACTTGTCATAAGCTTCTTTTTTATTGCGGCCTTCTCATAAGGACCAACAGTTCATTAAATATCAACTCAAAGCATGTTTCTTGGCTGCTCTCTAATATCTATTTCATCACTAAGTCAGGTGAATGCAAGAATCAGTCCTATTTATGAACCAGAGAAAGGTGCGGGTAACATATCAAAATGATAGACAAAGATTTGTATAGTGATAGTATGTTAAAAGTATAAACCCTTATAGCTTCATTTGGGAGTCTAGAAAAGCTTTCTCTCTCAAAAAAAAAGAAAAGCTCTCTCAAACAGATTTCTTTCTAGTATTCTGTCACATCACTTAAGGAATAATTTTGACAATGCTTTATTATATTTATTATATTTATGGGATTCTCTCTAATATCCATGATGTTGAGTGAGTCCTGCACCTATTAAAGGTAATTCAGTTATTTCTTCCTTTTCAGTTTTTACTTGAGTATGAAGTTTTTGATGTTTAATAAGGTTTGAACGTCGGTTGAAAGCTTTCTTACAGTCCTTACAATTGAATGGTCTCTCTCCTGTATGAATCATTTGATGTCGTATCAGGGAGGAACTACGGTTGAATGATTTTCCACAATCGACACATTCATAGAAATTATGTCCAGAATGGAGTCTTGGGTTTTTATGACTGTCTTCACTCTTACAGAAGGTTATTCCACAGTTACTACCTTCAGAGGCCTTTTCCTGAGTATGAATTTTTTGATGTTTTGTTAGGTTTGTGTATCGGTTAAAGAATCTCCCACATTCACTGCATCTGTAGGGCTTCTCTCCAGTGTGAATGATCTGATGTCTAATGAGTGATGAACTTCGGCTAAAGGTTTTTCCACATTGATAACATGCATAGGAATTCACTGTAATATGCCTTTTGTTGGGCTGAATAATATGTGTATTAATGCTCAAAGCATTTCCACATTCGTTATATTCTGAATGTGGCTCGTCCACAGAGTCTGAATTAAACGTGAAGTTAGTTTTAAACTTATGGCTGTTTGGAGACCTTGTTTCTGCAGGAGTTTCCTGTTGTATATCCCAAATAGAGTTAACTGACATAAAGCTTTTCTTATTGTCATTATATTCAGAATCTCCTTCCTCACTGTAGACTGTCATATGAATGGAAGCTTCTTGTGGAAAATTTACTTCCTGCTTTTCCTGGTTCCTATGAAGCTGATCCTCACCTCTCCATTTGTGTAAGGAAGCATGTACATTTTTGGCAGGGCTTGTCATAATTTTTCCATGCAATGATTCTTCTGCAGAAACATTCTGCTTTAGAAGTGAATTTTGGTCTTCTGAAATAGTCTCTATATTTAAAAAAATAAATAAAATTAGATAAACTAAATGGTAGGAAACTGCTTAATGAGGAAAGGGAGACTCAAGTACATAAGGATATAAGCATGTATCATGGATCTTAAGTACAGAGTGAAAGACAGCTGGGCGTGGTGGCACATGCCTATAATCCCAGCACCCAAGAGGCTGAGGCAGGAGGATCATTGCGAGTTTGAGACCAGCTTGGACTGTACCCCAAGTTAGTTCAAGGCCAGTCTGAACTGCATAGTGAGATCCGGTCTCAAAAAAAAGGAAAAAAAAAAGTACAGAATGAAAATGTTAGGTGAATGAAACGAATTGCAAAGAGAGAAATTTTGAAAGAATTAAACAGAAATCTTGGAAATAAAGAGTTCAGTAAGTCAAAAAATATAGTTGAAAGCCTCAGCAACAGATCAGATCAAGTTATGAATGTCTGAACTTTTTTTTTTTGAGACAGGGTCATGCTATGCATTTCAGGCTGGCCTTGAGCTCACTATGTAGCCCAGGCTGGTCTGGAACTCAAAACAATCCTCCTGCCTCAGCCTCCTGAGTGCTGGGATTACAGGCATGAGCCACCACACCCGGCTGAATGTCTGAACTTGAATACAGGTCTTTTGAAATATTCCTATCAGAAAAGAGAAAAAAGAAAAAAAAAAATACAAGAATTAATAAAAAGAACCTTCAAGACCTACGGCATATTACTGAAGAAACATCCAAGTTTCTGGAATATCAAAGCCAAGAAAAGAATCTCCAGGACCTATGGGATACTACTGAACAAACATCCATGTTTCTGGAATATCAAGGCCAAAAAGTTAAGAGAACCTATTTAGAAAAATAGTATCAGAAAATATCCCACTACTGGGAAAAGTTTGGATACCCATATGCAGGAATATTACAGAATCCCAAATAAACATAACCAGAAAAGATCTTCACCATGATATATTAAAGAATGTCAAAAGGACAAGATAGTGAATTTTAAAATCTGCAAGAGAAAAGTGCCAAGCCACATTTAAAGGTATCGCCATCAGACAAGTAGCAGACTTATCAGCACAAAGCTTAGAAGCCAGGAGGGAATGGAATGGCATATTCCACGTTGTGAAAGAAAGTAACTGGCAACAAAGAAAACTATGCCCAGCATAGTTTTCAGAAATAAGAGAAAAATAAAGATCATCTAAAAATCAAGTAAAAATTGAGGGAATTCATGACTGCAAGACCATTCTCAGAATGGATGCTGAAGGGAGTTCTTCATCTAGAAGTGAAAGGAAGATGAATACCATTACAAAAGTATGTGAAAGCATAAAATTCATTAGAAGAGTAGATGAAAAAGAAACAGAAACGAGTGACTATCAGTACAATAAACCATCAACCCCCAAAGATTAAAATGGAAGAACAAAGAATACTTAAAACATCTAGAAAAAATTCAACAGAGAGCTGGGCGTAGTGGGGCATGCCTATAATCCCAGCACTTGGGAGGCTGAGGCAGGAGGATCATTTCAAATTTAAGACCAGCCTGGGTTACAAAGTGAGCTCAAGGCCAGCCTGAACTGCATAGCGAGACCCTGTCTCAAAAAGACAAAAACAAACAAAAATTCAACAGAATGATAAGAAATAAGTCCTTACCTTTTAGTAATGACCTAGCATGTAAATAAACTACATTATTCAATTAAAAGAGATTTGCATTTTAAAAAACCCACAATATGCCACCTACAGGAAACCAGCTTTGCCACTAAACACTAGAGAGAAAGTGAAAGGATAAAAAGTGATATTCCAGGCAAATGGAAACATAAACTAAGTGGTAACAGTTGTTGTTACATATGACAAGGTAGATATTTAGATGAAACCTGTACGAAAAGATAAAGAACACTAATGATCAAAGATCAATTCAATATAAAGCTTTAACAAAGGGCTGGGAATGTAGCTCAGTAACAGAGTATTTGCCTAGTATGCATGAGGTCCAAGTTTCAGTCCCTAGCACAGCCAAACAAACCAAAACAAAAAAAGATATGATTGCAAATCTATATGCACCTAATGTTGAAGCACTCAATAAAACAAACATGAGACATAAAAGGACAGACAGGCTCTGATACAATAATAGTGGAGGATTTTAGTACCCCATTTTCATCAATGGACAGATCATTCAGTCAAAAATTCAACAAAGAAGCATCAGTTAAATTATACTATGGGCCAAATGGACCTGCAGAATACATGTTCTTATCAGCACATGGAACTTTCCCTAGAATAGATCATATATTAGGCCACAAAACAAGTCTTAAAAATTTTTTAAAAATCTGAAATCATATCCTGTAATGTTCTTATTACAATGGACTAAAACTAGAAGTCAAGAACAAAAGAAATTCTGGAAAAACAAATGAATGGAGACTGAATAACAGCTTTGAAAAAAATAGTCACTGAGGAAGTTAGAAGAAAAATTAAAAACTCTCAAAACAAATGAAAATGGAAACATCTTACTGAACCTTGTAGGATACAGCAAAAAGAGTACCGAGGGAGAAATTTATATCAATGAGTGCCTAAAAAGATTTAAAATAATCTAACAATGCATCTCAAGAACTTAGAAAAGCAAAAAACCAAATCCCAAATTAATAGAAGAAAAGAAGTAAAGATCAGAGCAGAAAGGGGCTGGGGATTTAGCTCAGCAGCAAAAGCGCCTGCCTGGCATGCGCAAGGTCGTGAGTTCGGTTCCCGGTACCGGAGAAAAACCAAAAAAAAAAAAAAAAAAAGATCAGAGCAGAAATATCACACTAAAAAAACAGAAAAGATCAATAAAACACTTTGAAAAATATCAAACCAGCAACGTGTGGCTTAGCTATACTAATTGAGAAAAAAAAAGACTCAAAATTAGAAATGAAAGAGACATGGAAACTAGCACCAAGGAAATATAAAGATCATTAGGGACTATTAGGAAAAACTGTATGCTAACAAATGGGAAAACACAATAAATCAATGAATTCCAGGGTATATATGAACTACCACAATTGAACTACAAAGAAATAAAAAATCTGAATAGAATAACAAATACTGAGGTTGAAACAGTTATGGGAAGTCTTCCAATAAAGAAAAGCCCAGAATCAGATGGCATCACTGCTGAATTTTACCAAACTTAAAAAAGAACTAATGTCAATTCTTCTCAAAGTATTTCTCAGAATTGAAAGGGAAGGAATCCTTCCAAATTTATTCTATGAAGCTAGCATTATCTTGCTAACAAAACTAGACAAGGACATATACAAAAACAAAACTGAATGCTAATGTGAACATAGAGGCAAAAATTCTCAACAAAATTCTAGCAAATCAAATTCAACAGCACATCAGAAAGGTCACCATGATCCAGTTGGTTTCATCACAGGGATATAAGGATGGTTGAAGGTACACAAATCAATTAATGTAACACATTACATCAGTCAAATGAAAGATAAAATCCTATGATCATCTTAGTAGATGCAGAAAAGCATCTTATAAAATTCTGATCAGCTCAGTAGATATAGAAAAAGCATGTGATCAAATTCAGCATCTCTTCATAATAAAATCTGTGTACAGAATAGGTATAGAAGGATGATATCTTGAATAATAAAGGCTATCTGTAATAAATACACAGTCACTGTCAAACTGAATGGGGGGCTGGAAGTATTTTTTTCTAAAATGAACGAAAAGAAAAGAGTACTATTCTGATCGCTTTTAATTCAACATATGCAAACATTCTAAGTGGCTAAGGAGGGCTACCCATAGCATGGCAATATCAGTGTGTTTAAACAAGTGGCTGTTGACTTCCAAGAGAAAGAAGCAGAAGCTACCAGTCCATTATAAGCTAGACTAGGAACTGGCAAAATATCGCTTCTGTGTATTTCACGGGTTAAACTGTATCACTACTGCCTGAGACTCAAAGGGAAGGAAAACAAGGTCTACAACTTGATGGGATGAGTGACAATGACTTTGTGGCTATCTTTTTTTGTGTGTGGCTATCTTTAATACACCATAATCTATCAACTATTTAGGAAAATAAATATACTTACTGAAGTAAATACCAGGTTGATTAAGATATCATGTTGAAATGGTGAAATCAAAATAAAATCAGGGAATATGTTTTAGTTTTAGTGTGGAAAGATTCTTCCATATAAAACTGACAGGCAAAAACAATGGGGGTACAAGATGTATGATAACAAGTTGGAAAAATATGTATGGCAGACACTACATTTTTATAGATTATTTAAATAGGCAACTGCTAAAGATATCATAATAGATGAAAAGAACAGGCTATAAAATGATATATTCCTGATACATTTTGGGAAAAACCTTGAGAAAATTTATTAAAAAATAAATCTTTAGAAATCAGAGATGTATTGTAAAGACATGACTTAAAAAAAACCCAAGCTTCTGGGCACTGTGGCACATGCTTGTAATTCCAGCACCCTGAGAAGCTGAGGCAAAAGGATTACCAGTTCAAGCCCAGCCCATGTAACTTAGTGAGATCCTGCCTCAAAATAGGGCTTGGGGGTAACTCAATGCAAAGGCCTGGTATCATGCAAAAACAAACAAAAACAACAACAAACCCAAACCAACATGTCAGTACTGTGTAGCTCTGAGGAATGAGGTAATGGGTGAATTACATTCTTCGTACTTTTCTGTGCTTACTACAATTTATCTCAATTTTATATTCTCTTGTAAAGTGTCAATAAGAATGGATTATGGTAAGAGTAGGGAGTTAATGCATAAGAGGTTATATAATCAAAGAAGGAAATATAAAAGATTTCTAGCCATTTTAGCACAAAGCAGATTTGTTTTCTTAACAAAAAAATAATGTTCAATGTTAAGTTGGCTAATGTTTGCTTATTTAGCATCATGTGCTAGACAATGTTCTCAGTGTGCTATATGTATTAACTCATTTAGTCCTCATAGTAGGTACTTTAAAGTTACAGGTGAGGAGTTGTGCCAAGTCACATAGCTTTAAGTTAACTGTTTGTGGTCCTAACCCATACACTATTTTAGCACATAATGAGAAAGAGCCTGGGAACAGAAGGCAATGATACCCCTTTTGTTTCCCCCTAAAGTGTAGGTACTTTTTTGTCACCCTCCGAACAAATAATTCAAACAGTAACTTCTTACAAATATTTTCTACCTTCCTGGTTCTTACCCAAAATGGTCCTTCTTGGGATTTCTCCTTCTATTACCCATCTTTTTTCCTTGTTCTCCAAGTTGGGGTTCTCTACTGGTTTGGAAAATAAGTGAGCTGTTAATTGAGAAAAATAACAACAACAAACAGACATATTTTATAGCAAAGAGAATTTCATCCCAGTCCAGTAGGCTAAGCTGCTGAAGCACAGGCCAAAAAAGCACCATGGACCTGTGTATTTCTGGCTCTGTACCAAAAAGGACTTTCAAAGCAGGAAGATCTGCTGTTAGAAAACCTGAACAAGAAGCCAAATGAACATAACAACTTCAGCAGTTGTATAACTTTCAATAGCTGATTCTACTAGTAGACAAAGTAGGTAAATACACAGATGCCACCTTTATGCAAAGAGTTCAGGTTCCTGTAATTCTCCAGCATCACGTCCTTGTACAAGTTCTTCTCAGCAGAGTCCAGTTGCCCCCACTCTTCCTCGCTGAATTCCACAGCCACATCTCTGAATGTTACTGGTTCCTAAAACATTAAGTTCCTTTGTAAACAGAGGTCACTCCTAAAAAATATTAGCAGAGGTAGAAAGAATTTGGAAAAAATACCATAGAAGCCAGAATATACAAGAAATTGATAGGACAACTTTTGGGTTCAAAGTGATGACAAAGAAATTATATTAATTATATGAAGGGCTAATCAGCTCCATGAGGGTAGCAAAATGAAAAGGCAGTACAGTTCTTACTTCGATCTACTTGCACTTCGAGAAGAAAAAGCAATTAAAATAACTGTGGAATAAAATACTCCTACAAAGTATACAGAATTTACAGAAAAGGAATTAGATAAGAAGTGTGTAAGGTAGATTCAAGAGAAATTTGTAATGAAAATGTAGGCTCTGTTCAGAAAAAGAGAAGCTATTTTCTCTGAGAAATGTAGCCTGCTCGCTCCTTATCATTCAGACCTCATAGTGCAATGTCATCTTGTTAGACAGGCAAGACTGCCTGATTAGTGATTAGTCTTTAGTATATTAGGCTCCTTTCATCTGTAATAATTATTTGTATTAACAATTATCTTATTTGCTTATATTTGCCTGTATGCTTCTATTAGCTTCTATTATGCTTCTTAAAAAAAACCCAAGCTTCTGGGCACTGTGGCACATGCTTGTAATTCCAGCACCCTGAGAAGCTGAGGCAAAAGGATTACAAGTTCAAGCCCAGCCATGTAACTTAGTGAGATCCTGCCTCAAAATAGGGCTAGGGGGTAACTCAATGCAAAGGCCTGGTATTATGCAAAAACAAACAAAAAAACCAAACAAGAACAACAAAAAACCCAAACCAACATGTCAGTACTGTGTAGCTCTGAGGAATGAGGTAATGGGTGAATTACATTCTTTGTACTTTTCTGTGCTTACTACAATTTATCTCAATTTTATATTCTCTTGTAAAGTGTCAATAAGAACGGATTATGGTAAGAGTAGGGAGTTAATGCATAAGAGGTTATATAAGGCAAAGACATAAGGCAAAGACTTTAGTTTTTTTACTGATATTTTTAGCCTTCAGAAAAGTGTCTGGCATATTAGACTTTTTTTGTTTGTTTTGTTTTTTTCCGGTACTGGGAATCGAACTTATGACCTTGTGCTTGCCAGGCAGGCACTGTGCTGCTGAGCTAAATCCCCAGCCCCTGGCATATTAGACTTAAGTATTTGTTAATAAGTGAATTCTCTCACCTCACGCTATCAGTTAATTCACTTCTCTCTCCAGCACCTTCAACTTTGTCTTTATCTGTGTTTTCAATCACACTGAAACATATAAAACTCTTCCCTTCTTATCCTTCGGAGTCAGTCTCTGTAAGTTGTTCACATTTGTTTGTCTATTTCCCAGGATCTTCTCTTTCCACAACCCAATGTGACCTGGCTTCTCTTCCTGTGCATGTTAGTGAATGGACACTACTTGGGTTGTATTACTCCACTTTTACAAACATGTCTTTATCTTTTTTTTTTGGTGCTGGGAATTGAACTCAGGACCTTGCGCTTGCCAGGCAGGCGTTGTACCACTGAGCTACATCCCTAGCCTTAAACATTTCTTTTTTAACTGTTCTCATAGTTTGCCTTCAGTGACATCATATTTCCTTCTCATCTTTGTTTCTCTCTTTTCAGTACCCTTTGAAGTTTTTCTACTCCTGCTTAGTAAGTGGCATTGCTCAAGGATTCTATGCATGGGCCCTCTCCACTTTTAATTCCAAGCATCCTACGGTAAGGCTCTATACCTTCATTTATCGTCTATGTTCTTGAGGGAATAGATTCACAGAGACTACATAAGGCTAGGACAAATGTTTTCCAGAAGTCTATTATTAAGGAAAATAGGTGTAATGTTCTGTGAAAAAAAAAGTGACTTATGACCCTGGATGGAACTATGTTTGATGAAAGTTAAAAGGCAAGTAAAGGCAGGTCCTATTAAAAAAGAATTTACAATCCAGCAAAGAGGGGGAACCTAACTCACTTGGGGCTTGTCTGTTAGTGAGTCAGCTTCCACGTTCTCCTCCTCGGTGTGGCTCTTCTGAGGGGCAGCGTCTCTGAAAGGTACACCTGAGCAAGATGACAGAAAATATTAGGGAGACAAGTTCTGCCCTGGAGCCATTTTGGATGACTGCAGAAGTGCTTTTAACATGTGATTCATAAGAATCACCTATGAATGATTAAAACTCTGCAAAAATAATAACTGCTAGGCCCTACTAGCAATGAGAAGCTAAATCGTTAAGTACTTATTGCTTTTTTCAACAGGGACTTCAAATCTAATATGCTATATGATTAATGTATTATCCCCTCCATATCTACACAAAATTTGGTACTTATATCCCATTTATAGAAAGAACATGTGAGTTCACACAAAACCTTATTTTATTCTACCTACACCTTAAGCCAGTCAATAATTCCTTTAGGTTTAAACTCCTCTGTTTTGCTAATGGTCCTTCATTCTCCAACACCTACTACAACAGCCTAATTGGTTTTCCTATTTTCAGAACCCTCAGCTCCTTTTCATGAGAAGTTGGTAACCTTTCTCTAGGCAACACAGTCTCTTCTGCTACTACTCAACTCTGGTCATAGTATGAATGCGCCTGTAGGCAAAATGTGAGTAAACAGGCATGGCTACGTTCCAATGAAATTTATTTTTAAAATTATTTGGCCCATGGGCCATACTTTGCCAAATCCTGCTCTAGACTGATGCTAAATGGTATTTTAACAGGCAGACCAAACTGTGTTACTTTCCTACTCAATGTGATTTAATTCTCTTATTTCCATGATCTACTATGGAGGACCACCTGGTTGACTCTCCCTGAAGAAGGAGCAACTGTCTCCATCTTGGCTGAACCTTGCCCTATTTCCATGCACTAATGTGCGCAGAGCTGACTCGGACTTTTCCTTGTCCCACAGTTGGCTTTAAGCAATGCAAATTGGGCCAGCTGGTGACAGGGCAGTGTTTCTCCAGCTCCCTTATAGCTCTCAAATGAAACATGTGCGAGCCAAGGCTAGGCGGGATAGAGAGCTGAGGCAGGATAGAGAGCTCTGCTCTATGCTCTTGGAAGGGAGCCTCAAGATAAGAGGCTATGACTTCCCAAGGCATAAAATATTACACATTAGAGATGAAGCACCTACCCCAAAATATTAGACACTATCTCAGTTGTGTTATGCAGATTACCCTTTCTGCATATGCTTCTCACTGCATATTGCAAAGGTGATTTCAGGACTCCTACCCAGCCCAGCTCACAGCATTCACCTACTTCCCACCATTCTCAGTCACTGATCCTCAAGCCACCCCTTTTTTCATGAATGAATAAAACCCGGGTTGGGCCCTGGGTTGAGGCCTTTGTCCCAGGTAGCCATCATCATAGCTGAACTTAGGACTCCTTGGCTCCCCATAACTACAAATATGCCTCAGTGTCTTTATTCTCGCCATGGGGTGCACTGGAAGTGGTAGACTGGAATTAACTCACTGGAATTCCAATAACTTTTCCATGGGATTACAAATATAAACTTCCCGGGCCTCAACGATGACCAGGAAGGGCTTTCTATAATCTACGGAATAAAGTTCAGGTTTCCTGCTACAACTGAAAGTCCTTCACGACCTTGTACTTGACACTCTCTAGCTTCAGAAAAAGATAATTTATCTTCATAAAGCCAAGTTACTCTACTTCTACTTTTCTATAGTCTTACCCTTGTCTTTCAGCATTTCCGTGGCATCCTCTATGAAGGTCACCACATCTTTGCTGTTCTTGGGATGATGTAAATGTACCCAAGTCCTGACTTCTTCAGGGAGGATTGCCAGGAACTGTTCTAGCACCAAGAGTTCCAAAATCTGCTCCTTTGTGTGGATTTCTGGTCTCAGCCACCGAAGACAGAGCTCCCAGAGTTGGTCCAGTGCTTCCTGGGGCCCAGACACTTTCAAATACTGGAAATGTCTGAACTTCTGGCGAGATACCTCGGAGTCATATGACCCTATGACAGGGGGGATCTCCTGCTGCCAAGACACATCTGCTTTCAAGACCTCACTTTGTTCACACAGAGCCAGGTTTTGAGGTTCTGAGACAGCGACGAACTTGTTCGGAGCCTCCATTTTCCTAAGCCAAATAAATGCTCACTGTAGTCCAAATCTGCCCTACTAGAGGATTTCAGTACTTCTCAAGCTTGAACTAAGCATCCCTTTACTATATGCAGTACGCTCTGAATCAGGTTATATCATACTAAGGAGAAGAGTTCCAGAAGCTTCCACAAAACCAATATTCAGCATCCTGAGAGACTGAAAACAAAACAAAACAAATTTGACTCATAAATAACAAATATCTATAAGCATAGTGTTAAAAGATAAAATAGTATAATGGTCTTAAAATTTCCTAAGAAAAACAAGTATTATGGATTGCATTTTTGTTTTTCTTAAACATACAAAACAAGTACAATGGTATAGAAAAAGAACTATCAATAAACAAAACGATCTCTTAAAATAGGACTGGTGGAAAAAAGTCGGAAGAGGTAATGAGTCCCCGCAAAGAAATGAACTGCACCCAGATACTTTTTAAATTAATATAAAAAGAAACAGTAAAGCTCACAGGGCATATGTCATAAGCAAAGCTGAAAGAAAAAAAAGTAGAGATAAAAGGAAGCATCTAAGAAAAAAATTGATATAAAAACAAGGATAGCTATGGTCACAATAAACTCAACTACATAAAACTTGGGAGACATCCCAAAACAAACTACAAAGCTGAAAGTAAGAGGATGATCTAAAGTATGTCAAGCAAATACGACATAATATACACAACATATATTACATATACTTAACATATTCAGGGATATAGTAAATATATAATGAATTAATAGTAAGATGAAAGAAACAGTATAACTCATGATATATAACTGTCAATCAAATTACGTACTTGAAAGGTAATTATACCAAGCCTCAGAAACTAAGAAATACCCTTTTTTTCTTTTTTCTTCTTTTTGTTTTTTTTTGTTTTTTGTTTTTGTCTTTTTGAGACAGGATCTCTTCTTGCAGTTCAGGCTGGCCTTGAGCTCACTTTGTAGTCCCGGCTAGCCTTGAACTCGCAAGGAATCCTCCTGCCTCTGCCTCCCAAGTGCTGGGATTACAGGCATGTGCCACCACGCCCAAGTCTGGCTGAATATGGTCTGCTTTTTTTTTTTTGGTACCGGGAATCGAACTCAGGACCTTGCACATACCAGGCAGGCACTGTGCCGCTAAACTTTATCCCCGGCCCTGAAACTAAGAAATAAAAACAATAATATAACAGAAATGACAGATTAAACAACTTTCTAAATCCTCAACGTCGTACATCAAAATCTACAGAAGAGATCAAGCTCTGTAGTTGATGGCAAAGCCTTACACACAATTAAACAAAAAACAGACAATTAACCATTCAGCTCAGGAAGTGAAAAGAAGCAACAAAATACTCTGGAGGAAATTTTCAGGTTACAACCATAAATTAAATTAATGAATTATTCAGTGTACATAATTATAGAGCAAGGAAGACAGACACAGATGCTCAGGATCATACAAAGGCGCCTAAGATTTCTGAAGACAAACAGTTTAGAGCATGTTTTGAGGCCAGAGATTTTAAGGTATGGGCATGAGTGAATAGCTTACGTGGCCAGTAAGCGATAGACACTGGAATAAGCAAAACCCCAAATCGCTAACTTTAAACTTTATTCTGAGTCTGGCGGTGAGACTAGAATAACTAAAACAATAGCCAGCGCCTCTGGGAGAGAAAAGGGCAGCGCAGTGAAAGAGAGAAAGTTAGATTATCATATAACCAGGTGACACTAGTTTGATGGGTTTTATGGCCTGAAAGAACTTGAACAGCTGCTAATCATGGGAAAAAGGGAGTATCTGTGAAGCGCGTGGTCTTTATACGTATGGTCACGGGTAGGGCAGTAGCTTAAGACAGGAGCAGTCTTGTGAGATTAGCTCAGGTAAATAAAGGTTTGCAAATTAGTGTTTGAAAGACATAAGAGGTTTTACCTGGAGGTTTTAATGTTTTACAGGGTTGGTTAGGAAAGACTGGGAAGGCAAGGCAAGATGAAATTAGAGGAAAAAGTCACGGTCCTTCGCAGCTGATCTACCCAGTCACAGCTGGCATGTGCATGCGGCTCAACACCAGCCGTTCCAGCCCATCTCACCCACCACGGTCTACGCGTGGTGGAAGAAAGGAAGAAAGGAGAGGGGCTGGGGGTTTAGAAAGGAAAGGAAGGTGGAAGAAAGGAAGAGGGGAGGGGCTGGGGATTTAGCTCAGCGGCACAGCGCCTGCCTGGCAAGCGCAAGGTCGTGAGTTCCATTCCCGGTACCGGAAAAAAAAAAAAAGGAACAGGGGCAGCGGCGAAGCTAAAGTCCCGGCTCAGCGCAACTGGATCCAGAGTGCAGACGCGGTTCCGGACGCTAGCGACGGTGACCTCGAGCTCTCCCGCCCGTGGGTCCCTTCCCCGCCCACGCCGCCTGCCTCCCCGCCACGCAGGGGATACTGGAGAGCACAGCTGCTATCCAGGGACCTATTCAGCCCGGCGCCACAGTCGGAAGGAGCCGCGGAAGTCGCCGTCCCGGGGTGGTGACAGAAGCTGGCGCTGACAGTCACAACAGAACTAAGAACCTTTGGCTTCCCTGACCTTTAAACAGCCCGCCGTTCACACATTGCCGTGGCGCACCTTCGCGCATGCGCACTCGTGGTAGACGAAGCCCCCAGAACCCACCGCGGCCGGCGCCCCTCGGGGACCTAACCCGACCGCCCCTTTCCCAGACCCCGCCCCCTCCCGGCCTCGCCCCTTTCTGCAGTGACCGGGTTAACAAGCCTTCCATCTGCTAAAAGATTCATGCCATTCTTCTGGTGAATTGGAAGAAGGCGCCAAACTTTCAGCGATTTCTTCCCTTTCTGGGAAAACTGACCCAAAGCTTCCTTAGCTTCTTCTCCCCCCTCTCCCATTAACCTGGAACCCCCCAAAACTGACATAATTTCAACGATATAGCATCTTGTCTATTGCTTAGTCTTTACTGATTTATCAGTTTACTGATTCGCTCAGTTTTGCATCAAGGTAAACTATCTTGCAGATCCGAGTTCAGTTTTGGCTCGTTGGGTGTGAGGTATAGTGTCATCCAAGAAACGCTGTCTTTTAGGCGTTTGGATTTAATGCCCTGGAGCCTAGAGACGTAGTAGATGGTAATTCTAAGAGTGAAATGAGATTGATGGGGTCTGGGGGAAAGCCTGGGATTTGGCCCAAGGAGTATCAGTAACATTGGTTGAGACAGGAAATTTTCAGGTTAAAACCAAAAATTAAATATATCTGCAAAGGAAAGAGAGGAGGATCAGCCTAAAACGTAGGAGGAAATGTAGCACATGTGAAGACTAAAAGGGAAGGCAAGTGTGTGTCATAGAAGAGGGAAGGCCCGGTAGCATTAACTACATGATAATATAATTAGTGCTTAAGTAGACAGACATGTACACAGTGCTGTAGGAATAAAGCAAGAGAACACAAACTAGTTACATGTCATGGAAATTTGTCAAATTTTTACTTCTAATTATTTATTATTTATTTATTTATTTATTTATTTATTTATTTATTTTTAAGAGCAGAATATACTTATTGAGGGAAAGAACGCTTCTGTCCAAGAGAGGGACAGAAGGGGGCCCGAGTGAGTTGCCCTCTTCGTTTCTTCATAGTCTATGTGAGTCTTGGAGGGAGTGGGAGACTGTCCCCTCCAAAAAGGCTAACGATATCCAAAATTCACTTATTTGGCCTCTGGTTCAGTGACAGCACAACGTGTTACTTGGGTTCAATAAATTAGACACATTTTGAATAGACTTTGAATTAAGTCTATTACATGAAAAAATGCCATTTTTCTTTATTAAAAGTAGATTTTTAATAGAATTTGTATAAGCACAAAAAACTGAGAAGATAGTACAGATGTCTCATAAACCCCACAATAATTATCCCTGTTATTATCATCTCACCTTATTATGGTGTATTTATTACAAGTAATAACTTTGGTAACCTTATTACCTAATATCCATAATATTTTATTCATATTTCTTTAGTTTATGTTTGCTTGTTCTGCTTTTTGTTGGTATTTTTTTCTGCTCTAGGATCTCATCGAGGATACCACATTGCATGTAGCTGTTATGTCCTTTTAGGTTTCCCTAGTCTGTGATGGTTTCTCGATTTCCTTGTCTTTGATAGTCTTGACGGTTTTATGGCGTTCTGGTCAGGTACTTTGCAAGCTCTCTATTGGAATCTGCGGATATTTTTCTCACGGTGAGGCTGGGATTATAGGTTTTGGGAAAAAAAGTGATAAGGATAGAGTGCCATTTTCATTATGTCATATTAAAATCACATACTATCAACATAATTAGTCGGTACTGGTTTAACTTGATCAGCTAGCTGAAGTATTGTTTGGCAGCAAACAAACAAAAATAATTCTTTTTTCTTTCTTTCCTGAAGAGGCGGCAAACGCAGCAACGTCAGTTTCCAGGCTTAGCCTCTGTGAAGCACTAGCTAGTGCTGGCGACGTGGTGCTGGCTGTGCAGATTGTGCCACCTAGTGCTCAACGGCGGTCATTGCCTCTTTAGGCTACTTCTGTTATATGAATCTGACCTGTGGTTCTAGCCACAGGACCGGAACTGCCGTTATTTCACTATTTCTCACTTTTAGTGTAAACTTGCACACACAAAAAACTCTGAATAACGCATCATCTTTATTATAATTTCTGGGTACATATGCTAAATATTTTTTTCATTAAAATGTTGCTGCACCTTTATTCATTGTCTCCCTCCAGAGCATGGAGGTGGTTGTTTCAAGCAGGCGTTTTTTATTGGTAATGTGAAGCTCTCCATTGGTATATTTTTTTGTGGATGACTCAGTATCAGTTATCCACTGCTGCATAAAAAACAATTCAAATCTTTGTGACTAAAAAACAGTCGCCGCTGTATTTTGCTTAGGATTCTGTAGGTTTGTAATTTGGACAGTGCGGTTGTCAGTTATAAGAAATGGCAATATTTAAGATATGACTGTAGGACTGAATGGCTGAAATCATTGAAGAGAGAGGATTAATGAATATGAGAATTCAAAATATTTGGATATTACCCTCAATGAGAAAATGAAAATAATTAGGAACTATAACAGGAGCAGTAAGCAGGCTGGGCCGAATGTCAGTGAACCAGGAGCCAAAGTCTTTGAGGAAAAAGAATTACTCAGGAATCAAAACTAAAAATTAAAAAACCCACCATCTTAGTTTCTCCATCTTACTTCTTCCTTCTCTTTCATGGTGAAACTTCTCAAATTAATGTCCACACTTTCAGATTCTATTTTCTTACTCTGTGTTTCTTCATTAACATAGGTCTAATACGGGTGCAGCTAGCACCTATAGTCACCACTTACTATGTGTCAGTCATTTACTCAGAGTTGGAGAAGATAAAATGAAATTAGAGGCAACCCATTCAGAACCCCATCTGTCTGTCTTGGACGGAAGCTTTCTTTCCCCCAATAAATATATTCTGCTCTTAAAAAAAGGAAATAAGTTTCAATAACTGGTTTTTAAATGGATGCATGAACTAAACAAGAAGTAAGTCCACATTCTGGATTGCTCTTCACTGAGGAGAGTCAATTCGACTGTAGAGCCATCTGAGATCTGTGGTTCCTGGACCCTATTTATGGTGACTATAGAATAATTGCCATGAGACACCTTCTAAATATGTGATTTAAAAATTTTAAGAATGGTAGTGCACTCCTATGATCCCAGCCCTAGGGAGGCTGAGGCAGGTGGATCATTGCAAGTTTGAGACTTACAAAGTAAGCTCAAGGCCAGCCTGAACTGCATAGCGAGACCCTGTCTCAAAAAGACAAAAAACCAAAAAAAAAAAAAAAGAAAGAAAGAAAGAAAAAAGAAACCTCTCTAAATGTGTGTCTGATCAGCAGTTTGGATAAAAGAAATAAGTGATTCTCAGGCAGTTCATTTGAACTAGAGTTTGTGACAACCTGAAGTGAACTCTGAAATTGGCCATTCTAAAGAAGTTAAACCACAGTGAGCTATAGAGGTGGTCAGCCTAGAATTGGTAAATTCCAATTTTTTACATTATAATTTCTCTCCTACTTTCTAAAGAAATGTTTGTTAGATAAATTGGGCTTCTTCTGTGATGAATATAGAGTATGAAAAGATATTAGACAAAGGAAGGAATTAAAACACAAACAAGTGGGTGATTACAGTAGGAACTGAATTTGAACAAATAAACTGACCACCGAGTTGTAGTAAAGAAGAATAATGAAAATTATCTTAGGAGTAAACTTGGGAAAAAAGCTGAAGATACAGGAAAATTGACTCTGATTGAACATGAGGAAGATCTAGTAGTAAAAACTGCCTACATATGTAAAAGAGAACGCTCAAAGAGCATTATCATTCCTGGATAGGAAAATACTGGACAACTATCTAATAGTGCTATTATGCAGTAGCCTAAGCCTCATATTGGTTTAAACGACTGTGCAATTCCCTTTACACTCTGATAGTCTGTATTTATATGGTATTTGAGATGGTCATTTGAATTCATTTTTGAGTTTCAGAAGAAAATATAATAAACTAGGAAGTGTTATAGCCAATGATACCTTATACAAATTGATGTCCTCTGACCCTGAAATCTCAGTATTAAAGATTCTTGTAGATTTTTTTGTTTTTGCTTTTTTTCCAGTACCAGGAATCGAACTCACAACCTTGCGCTTGCCAAGCAGGCTCTGTGCCACTGAGCTGAATCCCCAGCCCCTCTTGTAGATATTTTGATTCTTCTAACCAGGGTCCATTCTAAGGTTTATATGATCAGAACATCCAAACTTGAAATGTTTTTAATGGAAGAATCATGCACGAAATTCATGTTAGATATTATTTCAGGTTAATGCGGTTTAAACTTCATAGATTCAATTGTGTTCACACTTAAAACATGTCCGTGGGGCATCCATCTTTCTACCTCCTCTCTGGGGCAGTTTTCTGTCTTCTGTTTTTTTTCTTCCTTACAAATAAAGTGTCTTCCCTTAAAAACAAATGCCCATGAAGCTGAATTAACTATATACTCCTCAAAATAGCACCTGGTGTCTTTCATAATCACAGAATAACCTTTCATCTATTTATTTCTTCACTATGTTCCAGTTTAGAGTGGAAGGTTCAGAGTTTCTGGAATATGCCCTTCATTTTGATATGTCTTCCTGAAATAGTCTGTCATAATCCTGGTACTATAGCTCTAAAGATCAGACCCATAGGGTCACTGCCTCTAAGACAGTTTTCTTCTGGTTAGTTTCACGAATGCTTCTTTGACATCTTTGTTTCTCAGGCTATAAATTATGGGGTTCAACATTGGAGTCACTACTGTATAGAAAACAGATATCATCTTATCCCGCTGTTTTGTGGTCTTGGCGTTTGGCCGCATGTAGGTAAATATCCCAGACCCATAGAAGAGAACAACGACAATGAGATGAGAGCCACAGGTGGAGAAAGCTTTGAGTCTCCCCTCCCCAGAATGCATCCTGATCACCGTGGAGATGATATTCCAGTAAGAGACCAGGATGAGGGAGACAGGAGCCAGGAGGATTGCCACACCCATAGCAAAGATGGCCATTTCTGTGCTGTAAGTGTCTGCTGAAGCCAGCTTCAGAAGGGCAGGAGGTTCACAAAAGTAGTGGT